ACTAGTTTCCACTAAAAGTATAGCGCACCAAAAATACATTATAATGACAGGATCCCATCAGATACAATCGTGTAATAAACTAACATTCATGTCAATTTTCACACTCTACGATACATGTGAGAAAATCTTATTTTTACTCCTGAAATTTACTTTTTATATAATATCGTGTCACAATACTTGTCTATTCGTGATAAATACTCAAGATAGATTGTTGTTGCTTACTCAAATTAACTGAGAAGAAGAAAAAAAAGAAGAATTAGAGACTTAACCATATGACGACGATTTGTTCGCGATAATATGTACTATGCATTGTCTGTACATTTTTGTTTTGTCTCTCTCTCTTTCTCTCTCTCTCTCTCTCTCTCTCTCTATATATATATATATATATATATATATGGTGATGATGATCGAATTATGTGATTTTCATTTTAAATCCATTTCCTGATCAAAAATCTCACTATCCTAAAACATCGATATAAAATTCATAAAACAGTATGTGAAAATGTTGCCAATTCCGATGAGGATATTTTTTAATGAATTGTTCCGATAAAAGAGTGTGTGAAAAGCGGAAGTACACACACATATACACAGTCATTTTTCTGACAACAATAAGATACTAATTGTTTACTGTATATAACAGAGAAATGTGAGAGAAAATAATAATAATAATGATGATGTAAAGAAAAGAGAAAAAATAGTCAGTCCAAAAAGGCTTAGTTTATTTATCTAAATGAATTAATGGGAATATAATAGAGTCAAAATCATCTTTTTTTAACATTCTATTTCATGTTTTTGACAGCAGAAGGTAAACGATTCTAATATGCAAAAATGCTCAAATACTTCATTTCTGATAGTTCATATAATCAGAGAATGATGAGAAAGACAAATATATTTTGTTAAGTATTTTCTTGCTTGTTTAAGATGAATGAAGTTAACATCTAAATCAAACAGTTTCTGAACGATTTCTTTTTTTTTCCCTTCAAAATAAAATTTTTCAAAATATTTAATCATTCTTCCTATTAGAACAATATCAAGATTTGACCATGTGGTTCATACATAAATGAGAGTGGATGATGTGCTCTATTACTAATGTATCTAAAAGTATTATAGGACAATCGTTATGTCATATCAAAATACTTCTGTTTCTTTCGTTGTTTTTTAATCATATTAAGCGTTTTTGTTGCGGACAATCATTATGACTGGAACATTAACACACATTGGCAAAGAGAGCGGTTCTATGTATAATCTATTATTAATTATAAGTCTGATAGCTAAGCCAAGTACAATAAGTGAATGAAAGACATAAAACAGAAGATGATGATGTGTACACTGTTGGAAATATGATTTTGACTAGAATCTCTTCCTCACCCCCCTCTCTCTCTCTCCCTCATAAACTTACGTTCATGAATAAATGAATGACGACATACACAATTGAAATGTACTAAATCGTTATCCCGATTAAATACAATTGAACAATTGAGTCAGCATGAGAGAAGACAATTTAAGAAAAACAAAAACATATTAAGACTAACATCAAATAAATTTACCCTACGGTTATGTAAATGAGAAATATTGTTGATTAATTATATTGATTAGAAAGTGTGTGTGTGTGTGTGTGTGTGTGTGTGTGTGTATCTGAACATCAAATGTTTTAGGTTTTTTGACTTTGACATTCATTTTTGATGACATCGTTTTGTAATATTTTTTTCCCTTTATGATATAGTGAATATCGCGATCATTGTCACGCAATGTTATAATAGAGATAAATCTAGAACATTTGTACCAATATAACTTGTATGATGATAAAAAATTTTAAAAATATAGTGAACTCTCTGTTCAAATAGTTCATCCAAATATTTAGAGACTATACAATAGTAAGTTTAAGATATTTACCATCTGTAAGATATCGTCAACATATATATATATATTTTTTTGTTTGTAATACCTGCACTTTATATTACTTATGTTCGTATAATTGAAACAATAAGAAAAACAGATTATTTTTTTTATTTTTTTTTATTATTAAAGCCGGTCAAATTTCAACCATCTCATTTTTCATCTATCACCTTTGGTATAAACGCTCTATAAAACGCGTATACAAGTGTTAGAAAAGGTCGAATTAATATATGAGTTATATATAAGAAAAGTTTTTATTCAGCTGTCATATTAACAAAATAAAATCATATTTTTCCTGCTGTTTAGTCTATGTTTTTCTTTCTCAACATCGAAATTCTGTAATTTTCTAACTTTCCTGATGGGAAAATAATAAATTATTATGCGAACACCTACCAGTGAGGAAAAACAATTGTTAAATTATCATTCCACTATATATACATACTGAGATTAACGATTACGATAAAGAACAAATTTATGACAACTGACAAATTTGTCACTCAAATAACAACATTTTTTTCATCACAATATGATATTATAAGAACAATAAATAGTCATGCCTAGGTCAAACAAATCTCTAAGGTCGATAGATAACTACTCGACAGTTTTGCCAACAGTACAGTTACATATACCCAAAAGAAAACGCTTCCAAAAAAATGACTTATTAAAAGGTATTTGCTTTTTCTCTATAATATGAAGTTGTGTAATGAGTTGATACACATAATAATCTTTCAAACTAGTTATATTTATAATAGTAAGACTTTTTCCATCCTTTTATATATCATTTGTTCCAACATATTCTACTTGATTAACAAGACATCAAATATTTTGTTTTATTCTACCAATATATACATTATAGAAGTTCTTAAGAAAATAAGTGCTAACCACAAGTTTGAAGTTGTCATATGCTCCGCCTGCACACACATATACACATGCTCCGTTTCTCGTACGCGATAGGAGCTATTAATAATCGTTTTATCCTTTGATTGACACTTATTTCTTCTTCTTGTTCATTCTCAAGTCAAGCGTAGATAAATGATGATGATGTAATTTTATCTTTACATTCGTTATATATTCGTTCAATAAGTCAAAATATGAAATACGCGTTGATGTTTTTTTAAATCTTAAAGCCTTTAAAAATAAAGTATGTCATAATAAATACATCGGCAGTATGTAGACAATAAAATAGAAGAAGTCTCGACTATATTTTTTTCAATTAGTTTGCTTATCTCTAAAAAGGCGAGATCAAACATTTTTTGTTAATTCATTGTTAAACACATTCATATATGCAACTGTATAGAAGTTGATTTTTTTTTAGATTTAAACACAACAATAATCTTTGAGAGAGCGTTTACCGCATCGTATACGGCGCTACTTTTTTTATTAAGTCGTCACTAATAGACTGTATATATTTAACACAACATGATAATCGTTTTTTCTATGTCGGCAAAAAATTTTCAAATATACAGAGAGAAAGAGAGAAATGTAAACATTTTAAATCGGAGCTTGATCAAGGAATAAAAATAGATTAGCAAACACACACTCTTTTATATTAATCTTCTATACAAGATGATACTAATAGGGTTTCAAGTTGAAAACAAATTAACTTTTTTAAATAACAAAGATTTTATAAAGTAAATTCTTTTTTTCTTTGTTGAACGCGCGACACTCCATATGTACAATTAAATTTTTCGATTTAAATGCAAATTAAACAACAATAAAAAAATCGATATTATCATTTTCTCATCTCTCATCCGTAAAATATAGTTCAATTGTGTGTTTCATTTAAAATGGATCATTGAAAAAAGAGAATGATAGACCGAAAAAACATCAAAATTAGGATAAAATCATATGGGGAAATAAATAAGAAATTTTTTTTTTTGTTTTTACCAAGGACAATCCTGCACTATCGTTTAAAAGAAAGAAAGAAAAACTTCTTCTCTACAACAAAAAAGAAAACGTACATGTAATCAAACATTGGAAGAAGTATCAACTCTTCAACGAATATACTCGTATATGTCGAAAAAAACAAATCGTGTATCATATAAACACAAATTATAATTATAGTAAATAAGATCTTCATTTAAAGAAGGATTTGAATGGAAATTTTTGTTTCTATTAGTATCACAATCTAGTCGATTCATTATCTCAAATATTTGCATTACAATGCTCAATTGAAATATGTCATAGAGAATAAAATTTTTTAGTCATGTCTATCTAACATTATAATATTTGACAATATTTTTACTAAGAAGAAATTTCATGTAAAAACAAAATAGAAAAAAAAACTCTATTTTCATACAAGTGATTGTTGATGAAAGAAAAAGTCTCTTATGACAATAAATACACATATATGAGATGGGATGATATTGAGTTCAATGATAGACTCTTGAAAAATAACTTAATACTATCTAATCGGTATAGATGTATATAATTTCTATATAAATAAAGACAAAAAAACGAAAAAAAGTTGCCACTTGAAAAACGGTTTAAAACAGTTCGAACATTTTGCTTAGAGATTAACAGAAAAAGAAAAAAGAGATTTTTCTTCTTCTTCAACTTCAGCTTCAAAATCACACAATTAGAGAAGAAGGTCATAGGAATGAATATCACTAAGTAGATTTACGAGTAACAGTTTTTAGAATGTCTACAACACGTTTGTCATTGTTAATCGATGTGTCAAAACTATACAAAAGGTAGCCGATCACTCGATTATCTTCTCACTTCGTACAATAAATAATAATCTACTCAAAAAATAATGTATCATGCTGTGTTCTCTATGTATTGTGTATGTATTCTAACCAGTTTGGTATGTCACACATATATATATATATGTATATCTATCTAATATAGTAGATTCTGTTTCATCTTTCGAAAAACAAAATAACGGCTTTTAACATATAATAAACTCTTATGTTATAGAAAATAGATAGATGGAATAAAAGATAATAAATTTTCTGAGAAAAAGAGAAATGACATTTTTATCATACAAATGGTACAGTAACTTTATTCACAATAATAATATATTTAATAATATTGCTAAAATTTTTATTTATCTTTTATTTTTGTTTTAAAAAATTTTAAAAACATCTTCTCTCACATATTATTTACAAATTCACCGTAATTGGACAATAGCTCATTCTTAATCGATCAATTAATTGTATATAGCGTTTCGACGGTGTAGTCCTTAACCATGCGATTAAAATTTGAGATAATTTTTTATCATTAATACTAAACTGTAACCAATCGGCGCGTAAGAGTAGACCATGAAATGGACAACCGGTGGCAAATATATTTATATGAGATTGTTTTTTTAATGAATCAATTAATTTTAGAGTAAAATTATTTGTTTTAATGTTTGTTGTTCGTAAACGATCAATATTCTCATCATTATCGTTATCATCGATAGTCAAATAGGATGTTGAAGATAATTGTTTTGAGGCTAATAATTGAGTATTATCTGTTAGAGACTGAATAATAATTAATTGAGTATTTTTTTCAAATGATTCTAATGCAACATCGCCTAAAACAAAACAAAATAATAAATTAAAATCAATGATAAAAATAGGTTGTTGTTGTTATTTTTTATTTTTGTATAAAATTTTCTTACCAAGAAAACATTTCCATCTTTCTTGTTTATTTTTATATTTTTCTTTGCATTTCAATGGTAATTTTGCTTTCCAATAATCAATTCCATGTTGAATTGTATCTGAACCATATGAATCATTATCCGGTTCTATAAACCAAGCTGAATCAATTATTGCTCGAATATCAATTCGATTTCGATTTAATATCGATGGTAAATCATTTAATAAATTTGGTAATGTTATTAGTACACCTAGACCACCAGCACTTGTTCCAGAAAATATAATTTGTTTTGCTTGATGTAGACCTTTTGTTTCATATAAATCATATAAAACTGATTTCAAAATATTATATCCAGAAAATTGTATCTGATTTGAATTACTGCTACTACTGTTCATCGTACCCGTCCATAGATCACTTGAACAATATGGAATATAGATAATATTATAATTTGTAAATGGTCCTGATTCATCTGACGATGATGACAATATTCCACTACCATAACGATAATCTTTTGATTGTTTTGAACTTGTTAACAGAGGATTAATTAATTGACGTTTTTCACATGTTGATAAATCATGACAATACCAACCACCATCTTAAATAAAAAAATAAAATAAAATAAAATAATAATTTTTATAAGTGTTAAATAGACATTTTTATTTTTTTTTTGATCTGATGCATCAATTAAATTAACTTACCTAAGAAAATGAGCCATCGTCTTGATTGTACATGAATATTAAATGTATGTTGTTCAGTTTTTGTTGATAAAAAATATCGATGTCTTAAATAGTATGTTGCTTGACTTCCATCATTACATCGAGCATCTGGATATTCATTTAATTGAATTTGTCTTAATTCTGTTGGAAAAAATATTTTTGAATTATCATTTGTTTTATCGAGTATTATTGTCGAAATATTTTTTATAATTGATGTTGTTATTGTCGATGTATTAAATAATGTTTCTTCTTGACGTGTATCAATGATATTTTTACGAAATATTAGAGAAAATATAATAATAATTGGTAAAACAATACATAATAAAAATGTAAGAAATATTTCAAGACGATAAGAGTTTGATGATGTTGATGATAAATGAAAACGAGTTAAAAATGTTGTTTTTAATTTATAGATTGAGATATGAAGTGGTGATACACTATTACTACTAGTCGTAGTTATTGGACTTGTCGATGGAGTTAAAATTGTTGTCAATGATGGATATAATGTTACTTTTGTATTTGACATTGTATCAATATTGCCTGTTTTTTTACTGTTATAAAAAAATAAAATAAAAAAAATGAGATGTCAAACTCTCTTCTATAAGATTTAGAGTAAATAGAAGAATAAAGACATAATTATCCTTTCTTATAGATTTCAATTTTTTAAGTTATTTAACTTTCTGATCTAATTTAAACATTGTTTTCAACTTACATATTCCAAAATTGATAGATGTATTTATTAATCCATTAAATCGATTATATTTTTGAATAATATAATTTTTTGTTTGTCAATTGAATTTTGTTTAAATTTTATCGTCATCGTTTATTCAGGAACATTGTAATAATCATTAGCAATGAACTAATTTTGACTTTACACCTAACTTCTTCATCTCTCTCTCTCTCTCTCTCTCTCTCTCTCTCTCTCTCTCTCTCTCTCTCTCTCTCTCTATATATCTGTTTTATAATATATATTTTTTTTTGTTTTTTTGATAAATATATTTGTTTTTTTTTGTTTATATATATCTTCTTAGCTATATTAATGTACGTTAACGAGAGAGAGAGAGACGATATCGCTGGTTAGATTTCTCTCATTTCTATTTTTGCTTTTCTTTTTTTTGTTTCTCTTCTTTTCACGATCCTGTCGAATATTGTATATTATCGAATACAGTGAAGAAGAAGAAGAAAAAAACTTAGAGTTAAAAAAAAAAGAAATACTTTTATATATATATACATATAAATAAATATCCATATTCAAAAAAAAAAAAGATGTTTTAACAACAAAAGAAAAGAAACTTTTTCGGGGCTTCTTAATCGTCACACTTTTGACACAATGTGATATATAGATGTGTGTTATGCATACCGTGTGTGTGTGTATGTATACATGAATCGAAAAAAAAAAAAAAGTCATAATCTGTATTTATCAGTAGCACTTACTGTTTATTCTTTCTATGTACATATATATATATACATACATACTCTTATCATTTGAAAAAGAAAAACTTTTTTTAAACGTTTTTAAAATAAATAGAGATTCTTATTACTTAATAGTTCTACTATTACTCCTACTTCAGAGTTCAAGTTACACAAATTAATATAAAGATGTTCAAAAGTTCAACAATAAAATAGATAAAATTATTTTAGAATAATTTAACACAACAACAAAAAAAAACAGTAACAAATTTTACACTTATAGATCAATATATGAAAAGAAAATTGAAATCACGATTCAGATAATTTACGTGCACTACTAACCTTGTATTTAGACAAAACACATTTCACTGATTTGATTTTGATATATTATTCAGAGATGGTCATCATCGGTAAACCTCAAACAATAAAAAGTAGTTTTTTTTGAGAATATTTCGAATAAAGTGTGAAGAGAGAGCTTTACGAAACACAGTATGTGTTTGTGGGTGATTTATTACACCTATTTTTTTTTATTTTTTATTATTATTATTTCTTACTGTGTGAAAAAAATAAATAAATGAACATTCATATGTTTTAAAAACAGTGAAGTATAAGACTAGTTATATTTGTCTAGAATAAGAGTCTACAAGAGACAAGTATCGAACTCTTACAACTGCTCACTTTCGTTCATTCTATCGTAAATCAAATTAGAAGTGCATGATGAGTTCTCTCAGCAAGAAATTTAAAATAAGAAATCTGTTGTAATTAATTTCATTCATCTAAATGAGATGTGTCATCATCACATGTCGTCAAGTTTGAATAATTATTTATTGAGTTTTAACACCTCATTTACACGTCAAGTGTAGGAGTAAGTAAGTGAATTCAAAAATTCAATTCATATAATTAAGTACATTCTGTATATGTATGAAACAATTCCATGTACGAGTAATTATTATTTTAGAAATAATTTTATTTTAGATCAACTACTGTCAAAAAGACTTTAAGTTAAATAAACAAAAAAAAAAAAAACAGTTTTATGGAATCATATTCACACACGACATACGTGCGCATAATATTTATCTTTTAACACCTATTACGTAAACTATTGACTCTTATTTTTTGAAATAAATAAATAACGATTAATGTTTTTATAACACAATTTGTTACTAAAATTGAAAAAGGAAGACAAAAAAATTTAGTTTTCTTCTTCGTTTAAAAGTGTTATAATCAGAATAGAGCTTCTATCGATAAAGGCAGACATATTACGACATGCACTTGTTAAACATTTTTACACTAAAAAAAAAAAATTATCAATTTGATACTGAACGTTTATAAACACTTGATTTTACTTTAGGTTGCAAAAAACTTTATCTATTTAAAATCTCAAAGTGGACATCTCTATGCCAAAAAACTTTTGAGATCAAGCAACTACAATAGTATTTCTTTCGATTTGAATGAAGACTTTTTGTGCATTAAAAAATCATATTCTACTTTACAATGGCAATGAATAGCGCAGATTGCTATATTCAAATACAAGTTGATAACACTGTCATCTGGAGTAGTTTGTTAAACGACGATAACGTGTACAATACAGACCTGTCTAGTGTTTTTGTGAAATACTTTACGTCTCTCAACTCTTGTATGCAATAGTTTACTCAAAAAAAACAAAAAGAAAACTAAAACTTAACAAAAAAGAATCCACTTTATACTGTCAACTAAAGTACCAGACAATATTCTGTTCAATCTAAAACTACAGAGACAAATGGAGTAGCAGCTGCTTCCTTTCAAAGATATCACTCGCGGAAGTTAATGTCAATTATAAAGATCGATAGACATCCTTCTGAAAAAAAAGGTCAAGATTGCAAGAAAAAACGACTGCTCTTTAGTCTTATCAAATAAGAGGACATTGGCACCTCATACATTATTGTTTTGTTCATGCTTTTATTTAGCCTCTAAAATCATCCATTCACAGCAAGATTATGCATTAAACAACTTGACCCACTATGGATCTTGACGAGCTCTGTTTTTATCTCTACTATTCGTTCTTTAATATTTACTTACAAACAGCTGCGTTTGTTGAACCAATTTGATTGTCTTTGTTCTATTTATGCCATTTGAGCGTTACCATTTTTTGTTATCTCGTCTATCAGACAATACAAATTATGTATATTTATTTCCTCAATCTTAATACTTCAAGCTATAATCTGTCATTCATGCTTTTCCAAAGATTTTATCAATATTTCTAAATAATCTTTTTTTATACTAAGATTTTCGTCCATATAATTAACAAAGACATTCTGCTACTAGAGATGAAATGTATCACAATATCGATATGATAAATCATCAGGTGAAGAGCTTTATTAACAGTTCTGGAGATAACATATATTAAACATAGCAATTGAAAACATATAAAGTAGTCGGGTCTTTTCTTCTTCGAATGATAATATTAAAGAAAAAAAGGCAGAATTGACTACAAAAGAAGAAATGAAACGAACCTGTTAGATAGGAAAGAGCACGACGATGAATGACATTAATAAATTGATACAAAGATAGACAAAAACAGTACATATGATCCAGAACAAACAAACAAGTATTGACCGATTTTTTTCAATCAAATTAATCATTTAACATTGGATCTATAACAAGATTGAATGTCGACTTCAATATAAAACCATTGATTTATAGAAAATAATAAACTAGCTAGTATACAATTACAATGATCAAAAACAAAAGTAGTAGCACAGAATAGCAAAGATAATGTTTTCTTCGACTAGTTTCACTCTTTCTTACATTATTTCCAGATTTAAACGTATTTTGTTCAGTCGTACGTAATGAAAAGTACTAACGTTTTTTTCGATTTACATCTATGATCTGACACATTGATTATAGCCACTTCAATCTAAACATTCTTCATTTATCATCTTTATCCGATTTCTGTCCATATTATTTTATGCAGAGATAATTATCATCTCTGACGAGAATCAGTAATGTTAATCTTGCGTTGGTAAACACAACCACTTGTCTTTTTGATTAATAAAAAGCAAAATAAAGATTTTACATATTTAATATCATGATATATATTACAAATATATTAACAAAAAACTTAGCAATGAAAAACTTTAAATAAACATATCAAAACCAATACTGATCAAACTTCAATTAAAATATATTTCATCTTGAGAAAAATTATCACAAATATCATCTAATTCACAGCTTAGTGTTATAAAAATATAGAAAATTATATTTTTTAATAAATATAAACGACCAAAAGAAAATTTCCTTTGATGCATATCTGATACGAGATCAGATAACAACTAAAAAGTAGTAGGCTCACACTATGTGAAGAAGAACATGAACTCACTTTGAGAATTGAACAAACGGGAAAAATAACAACAATGTTCCTAGATCGAAATATTTCACCACTATACTTTTATTTCTCATCATTGACCTTATTAGCCTCATTCATTGAGCACCAACAGAATGGATATCCAATAGAATCAGCTTTAATACATCGTTGTAAATAGTTTTCATACTATAAATGCTTGCATTTTATGTTGCTATCCCTTCTGCTTTTAAAACTTTTCTTAAGCAAATCATGTATTCGTCGAGTTTTTGGATTTAAATAACTGATTTTACTTAAACATTACCGCATTTAGAAACATGGACTATCAAGAGTGGGATCATTCTTGTTTATAAATTTGAACGAGTGCAGTATTCTCATCAGCGTTTATACCAGCGTATTTTCATTGACAACTATTAAGCCTACGGGTCAACGATTGAACAGGACAATGTATATTTTTATCTGTCATAAAATCGAAGGTCAAATATTTTTTTTATTGATAATAAAAAGTTCTTCAAATACTTTGCATTCTTTATTCTCTCCTTTGTTTAAAGATAAAGGAAAACAGTAAAATGTGAGAATACTAGCAGGATATTTCTTCTCTTAGAGATATAATCTCTTGTTAACAGGATGTCATTTTGCGTTTATGTGCATGATGAATCAACTATTAGTCCTGTTTCGGTATTGTAGTTCAACAATCACACACCGTATATTTAGGGTTAAACTGTTGTGACCTCGAACTGCTCTCTGAATTCGAAATATCTCTAAAGACGGTTTTCTTGCGTGACTGATGTAATTTCTTGAAAATCATTGAATTACTACAACCGTCTATACACATTTAGAGTGAAATTTTTCCCCCTGGGAAAAACAGGGTCACCAACGTAATATTGCATAACACAAACGTGAATGTAATGAGCTAAAATCTTTAAACAAAAACAGAAATAGAAATGTTTATCTCGGAATGTGCAACTTTGCTTTGACATCAATCAGAGTATATCTATCTAAAAGTATTTACAACTCAGATTTAAAAACAAAAACTTTTCTCACATTAAAACATAGATTCTATAATAGCATAATATTGATAACATTTAATATTTTTTTATGTTAAAAATGTTGTTTTCGCGAAGTTTATGAAAAAGAGACACACTAACGATCTGAAAGTGTTGTGACCTCAGTTACAATACGATACTTGTACTATGTGGTTATAATCAGAGTTTTTAATGATCGGAGGACAGCATTTCCACCCAGGGGAAAGACGTCTTACAAGATCTTATAAGATCTGACGATTTCTTATGCAATCTTGCTGTCAGGGTCCTTCCTATGCTCGAAAATATTATAAAAAGAAAAAGCTGTTTTTTAAAGAGGGTCTGTGGGGGAGTTATAGTACAGAATCAGAGACATAATCTTATATGATCTTATGAAATCTTTCAAGATCTTGTCACTTCTTGCACGATCTTATCGCCAGATCTTGCAAGATCTTGCTGTAAGAAAAATCTTGTGAAATCTTATAAGATTCTTGAACCAAGTTTCTTGTGGAATCTTGTAAGATTTTCATATGATCTTGTGAAATCTTGTGGTATCTTATAATATGATCTTACAAGATCTTGTATGAACGTACAAGATCATATTTCAAGATTCTTCGCCCTAGGTAATGAAAATTCTTGCTAAGTGTACATGTACACTGTACACTCTGCTTTTTCAGTTAAAGTGTATGTGTACACTTTGGTTTTTTTCGCATTGTCCAACAGGTACAGTAAGTAGAACGTTTCACTGGAGAAACTTTCGATGCATTTATTGGCGACTTCTGATTACTTTTTTCAATAAACAGAAATGATGATAGTTTAATTGTTAGTTCGCTCTCACCACGTAACTCTTCATCATATAAGTGTGTTGTTGTTGCTGAGAACAGGCGCGAAACAGTCCCAGTTACCGTTCCTGGTAACTGTAACTGGTCAGTTACCGTTTTCTTCGTAATCAAGATGTAGAAAAGTTGATGCATATTTATCTTGCTTTTATACTCTAATAAACTCATCTAGTTCAACTCCTACAGACGATACTCCCATGTTTTCCACATAAACAATACACGTATAGAAAACCTTTAGTCGACGGTCTTTCATGTTTACAGACAAATCAACATGATTTTACATCTCTAAGTGGGTAGTTATTGCTCCATATTTTCTTTTAAAACTAAAAGATAGTACCTATAGTATAAGAACATTTACATTCAAGGCTGTCGAATAAATATTTTCTATACGTGTATTGTTGATGTGGAAAACATGGCAGTATCGTTTGTGAGAGTTGAATTAGATGAGTTTATTACAGTATAAAAAATAAGATAAAGGAGTATCAACTTCTCTACATCTTGATTGTGAAAACGGTAACTGGTAACCAGTATCAGAAACAATGAAAACTAGATCTGTCCGACCCCTAGCTGAGAAACGGAAGAATAAGGTGCTATTTCTGCACGTGTCAATTTTTGTCAGAAATCGGTCGACGGTTTCAGATTTTTTGGCATTGATATGATGTCGTTGCTCGTATGAAAGGCAGGTGGTTGGAAGCAGTTAGAAAATATGTAAGCGAAGTAATTTTATTCATGTGAGAGTCGCCAAAGCTCATCGACCGACCTGTAATAATGGCGACTCAAGCCGAACAACTGAAAAGGGTAGCAATAAAAGACAAAAGAGATAAACAATAGAACAAATATAAAAGTAAAAAGAAAATAACAAAAAAAAGGAAAACTAACATGTGCACGAGATGACTAGCAATATGAGGAATTTACTGTAATAGAGAGATAGACAAAAAGAGAGTTGAGACATAAGTAAAGAGGTAGAAGAATGTTGATGAAAGTTGCAAGAAATAACACACGCAACTAGTTTAGTTATACAGTTAAAGACAGAAAGAGAAAATGAGCCATCACATATACACAACAATAATCAATCTCAGAAAGGATATAGGAAAAAAATATTTGACGTCGAACTCCTGGTGAAGCAGATCCAAAAGCCAACTGAGAGCTATTATATAATTTTCTTTAAATCGACCAGAATTCCGGAAAAACTTTTTTTTCAGTAAAGCGCATTTCAGATTTTACCTATACTTCGTCATTAGAAATGCGATTAGTTTTATTGCATTCGTGAGAGATTGATAGATCAAGAAAGAGAAAAAGGGATTCTTACTTTGAAAATCTGACTTACATTTTTGTTTTCAGCAGGAGAAACGTAGAAAATGTGCGTTGATCAACCATAGCAAACCCATTTTACTTCAATTCTTATGAAAAATATTAATTTGAATTTACCTCATTTAACGATATTTATAGCGTTAGAACGTGATACTGCTAGAATGTTTCTTCCGCTGAAAAAAAGGAATGTTGCTTTTGAAATCTTATTAACCTTTGTTATGTCGTATTATTTTGTGATCTGATATCTTACGCTCTACTATTATATATTTTTATTTAAAATTTTTCTAAATGGAATAAAAGGCTTTGAACCACCGCCACAGTTAGCGAATGACATTATTTGTCGCTAGTTTGCCAAGTATACTTTAATAAAGCTTAGTCGTGTAAGCGAAGATGGAAAATTCTTCCTAATAACTTATTTAGCTATGATATTAATGGTATCATATGCTAACTCTGAGAAGGCGCAGCTCTCATTTGTTCCTATTTAAGTCGAATCAGGTGGCTGTCAGCTGATTTAAAGCAGTTTTGATTTCCATGACACCCTGCGGTTAGATGTGAGACAAAATGAAGCATACAAATTGCTGGTGTGTCTTGCTGTGTGGTTCAAAAAGAGATTCTTTATAATAAAGATATCGTTTTTCGGTTTACTAGATGGCAAAATGTGTCGAAAATTTAACAAAGTTCAACTGCGTCGAATGTAGTTATTTGTCTGTAATATCAATATAAGATTTCTAAAATCTAGGTTTGTTGACAAATTTATCTTAACAATGAAAAGATATTGCAATATTATCTTTCAATTGTTCGTATCAATTGAAAGTTTGTAAATAAAATACATTTTCACGGTTTCCTCGTGAAGACATGGCAGAATGAGTGTAGAAGAAAAAGAAAGAAGTTTAAGAAGCCTAGTTTAGGACTAATGAAACTCTAAAGTAGAAACACCAACAGTCAATTATCTTTCTTTTATTTATAATTTGTAAAATAGAATGTCGTCATCCACCAATGTAGCAATGCATACAGCAAGCGTTGAAGTAAAAAATGTTTTTTCTCTCATTAAAACTTTCTGTAATACATTTCTTACTTCATTTTAGTCACTTGCAGAAGTTTTTCGATGTTTTATTTGTATGGAAAAACTTCGTGATGCTCGTTTATGTCCACATTGTTCTAAATTATGTTGTTTTCCTTGCATTAGAGTATGTAAAATTAAACTATTTATTCAGAAAAATGTCTAATTTGTTGTTCTGTTTAGCGATGGTTAACAGATCAACGTCAACAATGTCCTCACTGTCGGTACGCAAAAAGACGAAATATGATACTAATAGGAAATAAATATGATTTAATTTTAGAGCGAGTCTGCGTTTACACGATTTAGTTAACTGTCGTTGGGCTGAAGAAGTGACAATACAATTAGATAGTTTACAGATAAATGAAATAAGTAAACAAAAACGCGAAGATAAAGATAAGTGAGTGTTTTAAGCAGTGCATAATCAGATGCTATTTATTTAATTATTTTATCTACATCTAGGTGCGATTTACATCGAGAAAAATTGAGTGTCTATTGTTCAACGTGTTCAAAATGTATATGTCATCAATGTGCTCTGTTTAATGGGACTGTGGTAAGTTAGTTCGACGTTTATGATTGAGACTCCTTTTTTTCATCTGTCTTATTTAGCATTCTGGTCATACATTTTTACAACTAGACGATGTATATCAAGTTAATATGACGATGATTAATGATCAAATGACCCAATTGAAACGGCGACATGTCGAACTAATTTGCCTTGTACAAGATGTTGTATGTTTTCATTATTATTATAAATAAGCAGTATCATCTTTATTTATTATTGATCATTTAGGAGCGTAATGTTGATAATATTAAAACAGCAAAAGATGATCGTATTCGAGAAACACGCAATGCTGTACATGTCATGATGGCCCGTTTAGATGAACAGTTAAAAACGAAACTTGATTTATTAAATAGTATGAATTAAACATTTATTTTCTTACGTACATTCCATGTTATTATTCTGTGTAGGTCAACGTTCACAATTTTCTCGTGAAACAGAATTAATCGAACATGTATTACAAGATATCGAACATAAAATTAAAACAAGTGGTAAAGCAGAAATAATTTCAAAACAACAGGATCTATTACAATCAATACAATTTATTTATCGAAAACCAATGACAAGTTTTGTAACCACTCCTATACCGAGTGATTTTAGCAGGTAAAGCAGTTTGGTCACTGTCTCTAAGAAAAGAAATGAAACTTGTTTGTTTACTTTTTTTTAGTGAAATTGTTCCTCAATACGATTCAAGTACATATGTAATAAATAATTTTACAATTTTACAGCATAATGTAGATCCAGTTTACAGTCAACCGCTACAAATAAATGGATTAACATGGCGTTTAAAAGTCTACCCGGTATACTCAATTTATTATGTAATTCTATTTTATCAATAAACTATGAAATTTTTCGGTTTCTAGGATGGTAATGGCACAGTTCGTGGAACTTATTTATCGGTATTTCTAGAACTGACAACCGGTTAGTATATGTGAATAAGATTGGATAATGATAGGCACGCACAAATGAAAGTTGAGAAAATGTTATTGAAAACTAGATTTCAGTTGAAAACTCGGACTCTTGAACATTCTAGCCATAAATATTAGTTTCAATTTAAGACTAACGCGAACTCTCCAACATTTACATAGGCGGAAAAAATCCGACAACTACTCAACAGCGTATACGGAATAGAACGTGTTGAGAAAAACGCAGAACAAGCTTTACTATCGAAAAATGTGTATCCATTTCAAAGTCTTAAAATAAATTGATTCACACAGTTCTGTGGGTTTTTGAATCTTGAAGGACCTAATGTGCATATACGCGGATCTTTTGCGTGTTCGTAGTATAAATATATCCGTGTATATTTTTCTGCATGCATCTTTTCTATTAAATGATAGAAAATAATAAGCTTGCGTATGAATACCTCTCCCACGTATACATTTCAATATGCATATTTGAGAAAAATGTGTAACCATTTGTTTATCTTATGAGAAATACAAAGAAATCAACCTAAATATGTTTGAAAGCAAAAATATATTTCGTTCTTGTCCGAGAACATATAGAATAGATTCTACTGTACCGATTTGGTATAAAAAGTCTTCAATTAAGCCAAAAAACTCATGTTTTAGCAAAAAAATATTCACATATGCCCACTAGAGTCTTTAAGGTCGATGGCTTTAAAAAACTGAAAGTGTTTATAGCTTCTATAAAACCTATGCAAAAACTATCAGAAACCACTTTTGAAGGCATAAAAATAGTGTTAGAAAGATGACACTTCGAGATATATACTTTCTGAAAATCAATATTTTGGTTCAAAATCGACTTTTCTGAAAGGGGAAAGGCCTTAAAACGATTATCAAATGTTAACTGAGCATCTAATAGTAGATTTTACTTTTTTATTCAATATTTTAAATCAATTATTTGTATTTAAGGTTTAAGTGAGCCGTCAAAGTATGAATATGTAAGATCTATTATTAGTACTTATAAAACAAGAACAGTTAAATAAATATTTCTCTTTACATAGCGCGTGGAAATGATTCATCAACTAAGCAAAGATCCAGTAAAAAATATAATTCGTGAATTTGCATCCGATTTTGAAGTTGGTGAATGTTGGGGTTATAATCGTTTTTTTCGTCTCGAACAATTGGCATCCGAAGGTTTTCTTGAGAATGATACACTTATCCTACGATTTCAAGTTCGTCCCCCAACATATTATCAGAAAAGTCGAGATCAACAATGGTACACAAATCATTTGGAAAATGAAAATCATCAGTTACAAAATGAAATCAAAGTTTTAAGAGATGTATGTCACTTTAAATCTTGTTTATTTCAATTAAATTCGAATGTTTTTTCTCTTCATGTTAAGAAATTAGATCTTGTTTCTAATCGTCGACGTAATCCAGATTCAGCCAGTAATACATAAATTTTCTTTTTCAAGTTTAAAAAATTAAATAGTTGTTAATTTTAGCTTCGTCTTCACATCTTTATCCTATGCCTGATGCATCGAAAAATACGGATGATTCAACAGTAATAGCAATTAATAATAATTGTATTGATGAAACACGACGTAAACCTCAAGTAACTCCATTAGCAATTGAGCATGTAAATAGATCAAGAAGAATGAATGATGCTGATGGAGAACAAGACGAAATAACCACAGAGGTTTTATATACTTAGACTAGATTGTTTTTCATTCTACATAACTGTTTTTGTTTTATAGTCTGATTCATCTTGTCCGATAGAAAGTGAATCGTTGAGTTCTGACGATGAAAATGACGTTGATTTAGAAAATGCGTACGTATAGATTTATTATTTTTAACAAACGCTGAACGATTAGAGTTGAACACACAGTAACTTCTCAAAATATCGTGGACAATTCAGTAGTGTCGAGAGTTTAAAATGATCGATCAGTTGCAATAAATTTTGGAAGCGTCTTTCTTTCGGGTATGAATTTAGTGTTTTTGTTGTGTGAAAATTGAAGAAACTTAAATTCATGAATCTGTGTATTCCATGTATTAAGATCCCTCTCAGAGTGTCATACAAGGGGGCATTTAGTAAAAAAACAAAGTGCTGTGGTTTCTGATTTAGGTATAGAAATACTTAGACAAAACTTAAACGTGTGTGGCCAGTGTAAAGAGTTTTCCGTATTTTTCGAAGCTCGAAACTTTGCCGAAATGTTTGCTACATACAACACATCTAAATTGAGTGCATGCAGCTCTTTCTTAACTCTCACTGTAGACAGGGATGTGCCGAGGATTTTTCTAAAGAAAGAGGTACCAAAACGTTTTTTTCGTTTTTTCCAGGAAATTTTTTTTGTTCCAAGCCTCTTTTTTTCGTTCCATAGTTAGGATTTAAGTCCGGTTCTCCATTTCTGTTAATCTCCCAGCATATACTAGATGCATCGCTATTCGAGAATTAAGTTTCATTAATTTTGCTACTTTTCTTCGTAATTTATTTTATTCTTAGGTTTAATTACTAAACGTTTCGGTACCTTAATGCACCTTCTTCAGTGGACAAAAATTACGAAGAAAAGTAATAAAATTAAGAAACTTATTAACCGTATCAACTTCGTACCAAAAAAATAGCTAATAATTATTTATTCTAGAAGTCATTAAAGAAACAATTAAGATTAAAGAAACGTTGATTTTTCACTAAATGTAACTGGTAATGGAAAAAGCTGTTTCACTTGGTATACTACTAGGTGAAAATGCTATATAACCTTTTGCAATACTATTTATTCCACATAAGATCAACACCGTTCATATAAAATAAAATTCACGTTCATCAGAACATTCGCATCTATGTTCAAGGAACCTGAACGTGCTTTAGCGTTATGTTCAAAGAGAACGCTAAAAAGGAGCACTGAACTTTTGCAGGCCTCGTACTACAGTAGTGGCCAAAATTATAGATTTACCTTGGTTGTTTGGTTTTCCGCTTATTTTTCTCCTTGACTAGAAGACATACTGTGCTCGGTTTTACTCTAGGATATAGATTTTGTCCTCTTTCAAAATAAAAGAACTCTTTCTATCAAAAAAGTCAATTTTCGTCAATTTTCGTCGTGCTGAATCCGAATATGACCTTATTTTCTCTTACAAGTGTTCCTGTATCGAGAAAAATAGTTCTTACTTGAAAACTAG